GTCCACGAACCTAAATCTAAGGTTGAAGAAAGTAAGATTGATTCGAGTCCACGAATCAATTTGCTAGTCGAGTCCACGACTAGCCACTAATTGAGTCCACAATTAGCCATAAGGTTTCTTACACATGTGTAAAGAAAAACTTAAGAATTTTATTGAATTAAAGCTTCCTCAATACTGATATGGATGAGCCCTATTTATAGGTATAGGGAAGCATTGTAATCTAAATACAATCGGAAAAAGAGTCCTAAACCTAATCTAGAAAACAAGTAAATAGAGTTTTATTTAGAAAAGGATTTAAGGAATCCTTTCTAAATACAACTAGTGTTTTCTCTTTAATTCTAAACAATTTAAAATAAATGATGACCACAAATAATAAAGCTGATTTGGGCCTCGGATCTTGTGATTGGCCCAATTTGTAATCTTAATGGATCTTCATTATGTTGGGCCGCATCATCCTCCCCTTCTTGAAAAATGATTCGACCTCGAATCTTATAAACATTGTCTTCGATCCGTGACATCACTTGAAACGGGCCACTATAATACTTTCCTCTATCGAATGGAATTATTATTGGAATTCCTTGATTTTTCCACCAATCATGCTTTAAGGATGTACTTTTTGGCCTTGTGATGAGCCCACTATAGATCCTTATTGGATTCCATGTGTGCTGGTTCCTATTAGATGTGACTATGGGATTTATACTGAGAATCGTATATGTTGATTTATAATTGTGCTTATCTTACCTGTCTTGCCTGTTGTAAACTGTATATGTTTGGTATAACTGCTGTCCGTGCTTAGCCCTATCTGTTGAGTCGATCCCTGTTTTAAAAGCTAGAGTCTCGTAGGATATATCTTCATGCTTCAAAATGGTTTTCGTATATCTATATATATGTCTATATGTATTGTATTTCGACGCGTTGGAGTGGGTTACCAGCATCTCTCGCTGAACAGATATATTTGGCTTTCAGGCACAGACGAGTAGATCACTGGAGCGCGCTAGAAGCTTGGGGCGTAGCTTAGATAGTTTTCCCTTTCGGCCTGCGTGCCATGATTTAGTATTGATACTGATTGAGGTTTTAGAATTTAGCCTGTGCACGGGTTCTCTAGCTCGGGTGTGGCATAGCACCCCGTACTCTTTGTATCGTATTTTGGGACATAATGAGATTCTATCTTTATTATATAAGTTTTAAAAGTCTTGAAAATCTGGGGTGTTACAGACTCAACTACTATTGGCCAGCAGCAAGCCTGACTAGGTCAACGGATTTGACTAGTCCTGCCCGGCCACTGTTCAGCCCGAGCTAGGGCGCCTCTTGTACCGCCGGCACCTGCGTTGAGACTCAGCCCCCGTGAGCTAGGGCCTCATCATCTTCGAGAATCCTCCTCACATTCTCAAATCTTTTGCCACACTCTTCTTCTTCACTTTTCTTTCTCTCGATTTTTCTCTCTTTTCCTTTTTCCTTTTTTCCGTTTATTCTTTTTTCTTCTTTTTCTTTTTCCTTTTTTCCTTTTTTTTTTGTGTTAATTCTTTTTTGTCTTTTTTCCTTTTTCCTTTTTCCTTTCATTTTTTTCTTTCCCTTTCCGTTTTTTCTTTCCCTTTTTTCAAACCAAAGCTATACAAAAGTACAGAAGCAAGACAAAAAGCAGAAAGAAAAGCATGAGAAAAGCTATAATCACAGTGGATCGTCCATGTCCAAGAAAACATGGGGCACATCATCATTAGCAAGTAGAACACGCACCTTGGATGGTAGATCAGCAAAACATGAAAAGCGAGCCTCCCCTGGCTTGTTAACAACCTAATCAGCTAGAGCCTGTGCAGGTAAATGACCCCTAGATGGGCATAAGCTGTTAGAGACTAACTCACATGAACACAGAAAACGAAGCCAGGACACCACATCATCCAGTGCCCAGGGTGGTCGGATCGAAACATCAAAATAACTCCCCAACTCCGCAACCGTAGACTCCAGCAAAACCTCCGGCCAGGCACCATTCTAGACAGGAGAACAACACACGAAACAGTCCTTGGATATGCTCCCCTTGCCCAAACCACGCAACCCCGTAGCAGAGTCCACCCTGCTACGCACCAAGGCTGCCCCCCCCCCCCCCCTACAGCTGCCAAAAGATATACATTAATCTTAAGCGCTCCTGCTGTAGGAGTCCACTTGACCGTCCTAACCACCCGCCTCGGCACATGTGCCTCCACATATGCAATGATCTTCCTCCAGCTTGGGGGCAGGATATGCTGCATAGGCCAACGCCTAAAGAAGCATTCTGCGACCCCTTTAGCCACCCCGAATATCACTCGCGCAACACTCGGGGCGCCCCGCCCATGCATAGACCCATTACGGTGCCTCCACAACTCCCACATCACCAAGCAAGGCAACATATTAACAACAAAGGAAAATAAAGGATTACGCGCCCCTCCCGGGCCCCAGCCAGCGACTAACGTCCTAAGACTCCGGTGTCGCGACTGCAGGCCTAAGGACGCCAAAATATAGCTCCCGACAGCTTTCGTTGTTTCCTGATCATAAAAAACATGCGCAATAGTCTCAGAAGACGGGGCTGAACAACACCTACACCTCGACACGAGCACATGCCTGAAACGAGCCAAGGCATCATCCGAACCCGCCGTTTCCAACCCAGACACATAGCCTTGACTTTATCAACCGCCGAGGCAAAGTAACTGCATTTCTTACGTCCTAAGTACACCGAGCACCCAAGATAAGTAAAAGGGAACTCATTATGCACACACCCAGTTTCCCTGTGAACTTTGTCAACTACCCGGGCTGGGGAATGGGGATGCATATAAAATGCACTCTTCTGAAAACTCACCAGCTGCCCCGAGATCTCCTCGTAGTCTTTAAGAGCTGAAATGACCTTCGTGATTGCCCCAAGCCTTGCCGTGCTAAAAATAATGACATCGTCTACATAAGCCAGGTGATGAATATGTGGAGTACCCGGCGGCTGAGAGAACCGGGGTACCGTGTCATCGTCATATACTCGGGCTAGATAGACGGAGAGGACTTCCGCCACAATAACAAACAAGGTCGGTGACAGAGGATCCCCTTGTCTAAGCCCTCTGGAAGAAGTAAAAAATCCCGCCTTTATGCCGTTCACTATTACTGAATACCAGACATTCGACACAGCAAGAAATACCATATCAATCCAAACCTCACTTAACCCCAACCAATTTTTGATTGTAGCAAAAATAAGTGATGGTGAGTGTACGAGTGTGAAATTTTGTCCTCGGGGGATTGGGGGTTATGGCACGCAATATGCAATCACAAGAAACTAGGCACTAGCATAAGGAAATCAACAAGAAGCTAAGCAAATCATAACGAGATTGACGATACGGTAACTAAACAAAATAACACAAACACATATTAACAAGAGATAAACATGAAATAAAGAAATATGACTCAAGGTAGGGAGTATTATCTTCTAGATGCATAGCACAACCTAAGGATTGGAGAAAAATCACACAACCAAGGAATAGAGGGGATGCACGTAGAAATCCTAGTCTATAAGTCACTCAAGTGAGCAAATTAACAAGGATTAGAACAAGGAATTGTCCCACTCTCATGATGAATCAACTCCAAGTTCTTCAAGAACACAAAGCATCTAAAACCCCCAATTTCCCCCATTTTCATAGGAGAAATAGGGTTTATGCAAGGAGTGGCTTGGAATCTTGACCCAACTCTCATTGAGGCCAAGAATCCTCTAAAACATGCCAATGAATGTTATACACCAAGCATTAACAATATACAAACACAAATCCTTCACAAACTCAAGAACCCTAGGTTAGAGTTCTTCCCCTTTTTGCAATAATCACAAATCAAGCATCAAGATAGATAATACAACCCTAACTCAAGTCTATAAACTAACTACTCATGATTCAATAGCATAAAGAACACAAAAACATAAATGTAAAGCATAAACATTGCAAGATAAAGAGATAAAAGGGAGAAGAAAAATTCACTAAGAAATGGGTGGTAAATCTTGGAATCCAAGTGTTGAATCCTTGATTACAAGCTTAAAAAATGTTTAGAAACCTAAATCTAAACCTAATCTAACACTACAATATGACAGGAAGTGAAAGAGAGAAGCTAGGGCTCAACCATTGGTCAAAACCGAGTTGAAATGACACAAAAACGCGCCTAAAGAGAGCAGAGCACAGTGGGACGCCCTCAGGGATGGGCGTACGCCAGGTAGTACCATTTTTGGTGCATTTCCAGTGAACACTGGAATGGACGTGCTGACATGCGTACGGGCATACGGCAGGGTGTACGCCACCTGCTTCCTTTTTCAGATCTTGGATGGGCTGATGGATGGGCATACGGGAGGCAGTACGATGCTCCTAGAACTTCCTAAGTGCATTCCAAACTCTTTGATTGATCTCTTGGTCTAAGAATTGCTAGTATGTTCCCACAAATCATTGAATTCCTCACTTGTTGTGAATGATTGCACCTTGAAATAAAACCAACACAAATTAGTCACAATTCACACAAGTTTTTAGGCAATTCACAAATAAAATGGGTTCAAGAAGGGGTAAAAATATAGACAAAAATGCACTTATCAACTCTCCCACACTTAAACTTTTGCTTTTCCTCAAGCAAAGACAAGAAATAAATTGCCAACCTAGAAAATAAATTGATCATACTCCCACCTTTCACAACTTATCAATCCACAAACCAACTTGCTACAAGAGAACTTGTTTCAAGAACCATTTTAGCCTTTCACACAAGTTCAATTCTCAAGCCAATAACCAAGGACCAAAATTATTAAAGTACGTGAGGATCAAGTGTGCACAAATACTAAGTTGAGATTATGCAAAATTGGCATTGAATGAGATTCCATAGGCTTGGCCTTCATACTCCCACTAGTTCAACTCAAAGATTGCATGTTAAGATCAAGTATGACTTTTATTTGGCTTGTAATGGGGCTAAGGGTGAAAGGTTAACAAAGAAGGGGTAAGGAAAATAAACAAAGGAGAGAACTTCACATTTATTCACAATTGGGACTAGAAGAGATATGACATCTATGGACTAGGGAGCAAACAAGACTTAAGGACAAAACAAACTTCTAAAGTGGTGGGGTTGAGTACATCTTTCAAAACAAACTTCAAACTTTTATTATTCCTTTGACCTCTTCTTTTCTTTTCATTTTTCTCATTTCATCTCTTTTTCATGACATTTTTTTTTTCAATTTTCTCAACATTATCTTTTTTCATTTTTTTTTATTTCAATAAACAAACTTATGAAACATGACCCCATACTTAGACAAGTTTAACAAGAGGATTGCTTACAAATCAAGCTCCAATAAAGATCTCTTCAAAGAAAAAGGAATAAATGATGTATTCTCTCAAGGGTGGAGGAAAATATTTTGGCTAGGGGTTAAGGGTTATTAAATGATGTGGGTTAACACAAGGAAAAACAATCACAAAGTAGGGACAAGTGATTAGCACTTATTAAACAAACAAATGGCTCAATGAGGACAACTATGGATAAAAACATGTGTAAAGGGTAGCTTAAAGGCTTGGGCTAAACAAAAATGACCTAAATCATTTCAAAACATGCAAATCTTAGACTTCACTTAGAGAGTAATGAGGTAAGTTCTAGGAAAACAACCATGACCAGAATCTCACATAAGCCTTCACTAGTAATGCATAACACACAAGATCAAGAATTTATTCAATTATTAAGTGGTTAACAAGGCTATTGGCAAAAGAATAGATCAATCATGAGTTACTCCTTGGCTCATCAATCAGAAGTTGAATTGCAACAAGTTCCACCAAAACAAGCCACAAACCAACAAAGAGGGAGTAATCACAACTTCAAGCAAGGAAAGACAAGTTACCAAACACTATGCATAATGAGTCATCCAAGAAAAGTTTCAAAAAAATTTCAAAAATTTCCCAACTTTTGTCCTACCCCCACACTTAGAAATTACATCGTCCTCGATGTGAAAGACAACAAAGAACAAGGGGGGAAGGATAGCACAATAAGCACAAGGAGCACAAACTCTACTATCTACACCAAGTAAAGCACTATACACAATTAAAGAAAGTAGAGAAGGTAGATGAGACTCCCCTAATGAATCTTCTTGTGTCAAAGAATCATCATGAAGCCTTCTTGGAATTGAGCATACTCCTTGGTGTCATTCCTAGAGTCAAGAGCATATATACATGAAAGCATAAATGAAAGCATGATATATCAAAAATAAAAGTGTTAAGAAAAATAAAGAAGAAAGTAAAATGCAATAAAATGAAAGATAACATGGGGTGCCTTCTATGAAGCGCTAAGTTTAACGTTGGTAGCTCGACTTAACCTCCGAGTTTCAACCATCATTGGATTGGAGAAAGAACATTCCATCCTTCCTATCAAATTTATCCTCCAAATATTTCCTCAAGTGGTGGCTAGCAACAAACTCCTTTATGCACAAATCCACCATTGCTAAGATTCCAATGCTCTTTATTCCAAACTTCATGCATCTTTCCTCAAATCCATTTTTAATCCGCAAATCAAACAAGGATTTCTTCCTAAACATTGCTTCTTGGTAGTAGAGATGAGATTTTCCAATCCCAAAGTCTCCATTCCCATTCTCTTCTTGATTACCCTTTTCTTGAGCAAGTAATGGAAACCTTGGATCTTCATCATGCACCAATAGGAAGTACGAATCCTTAGATATGAATATAGGCCAATGAGGGCCTACACTTTCAAGAATATTGACTCCTCCCGGTTCCCAAATCACTCTAAAGTCCGCATCCAAGGGAGTGTCCTCTGGGCATTCTACTAGACCTAGAATTTTGTCGAGGGTCCGGATCCATTCCTCCAGGATCACGGGGTCTTCTTCTCCTGAAAACGTGGGGGGTCGATGATTCGAAACTTGTCGGGCGACGTCCGAGTTTGTGTTTGATGGAGGTGGTGGGGGTCTGTTATTGCGAAGAGCCACGTCGCTTAGTGCTTGGGCGACTTGTGTCAGTTGCTGCAGGGTTTGGGTTAGAGGGTCGTGTATGTTGGGTTCTGGTGTCCTTGATTGTCTTCTGTTTGGTGCCATGTTGCCGTCCTTCTGGGTCAATGTTTATAAGGATGTTAGGTGAGAGTTTTGTATCCTTACTTTGGCGTGATAAGCGGAGGGAAAGTTCCCTTTAGATAAGTGAAGGGTAAAGTGAGGGAGAGTTACGTGTAGGTTTCACAGTCTTACCGTGCGTCCTAAAGTTCCCGAGTCCTACGTTCCTAAATACCTAAAGTTCAAGCCTATTGTCTTAAAGTCTAGTCTTAAGAGTCTTATCCTAGGGTTAACTTAGGCTCTGATACCAACTGTAACACCCCGAAATTTTTAAGCTTTTGAAACTTATATAATAAATGTAGATTCTCATTAAATCCCAAAACATAATAAAGAGTACGGGGTGCTAGGTCACACCTGAGCTGGACAACTCAGGTGCACAGACTTACTAACTAAAATTCTCAACAATATCAATACATGGCATGCAGGCCGAAAGGGAAACTATCTACTCTACGCTTCGGATCTCTAGCGCGCTCCAGTGTCTACTCGTCAGTGTCTGAAAGCCAAATATATCTGTTCAGCGAGAGATGCTGGTAACCCACTCCAACGCGTTGAAATACAGTACATATAGATATATACATAGATATAAGAAAAACCATTTCGAAGCATGAAGATATATCCTAAGAGACTCTAGCTTTAAAAACAGGGAATAGACTCGACAGATAGGGATAAGCACAGTCAACAGTCATAACCAAGCACATACAACGCACTAGTATAGGGAACAGACTTCGACAGATAGAGATAAGCACAGCCAATAATCATAACCACGCATATACGGTTTACTAGCATGTATCCAATGGTCGTGCATTCATAACATCAAACCATCCATATCTCATCACATAGAACACTTTGATGGCGCCACAGGACCAATCACATGCCCATACATGAGGGTCAGCGCATATAGCTCTGACACGGCCCCGTAGCACCCTGCCTCGTATCGCAACACGAAGGGGTCGATCGCAACCGACCGATGAACCGCAGCTCATCATAATGTTTGATCGCAACCAAACAGTGGACCGCAGCACAAGAGTTGTCATCTGACCGCAGCCATGAATATGAACCGGAGCTCATGTAAGACGTTTGATCACAACCAAACGGTGGACCGCAGCCCGAGAGTGTAAATCTGACCGCAGCCAGCTTCTGAACCGCAGCTCAGGAATAACCAATTTGATCGCAACCAAATTGGGGTATCATGCACGCGTAACACATAACAAGTATATGCAACCCACATTGACACATTGGGAAGGGGGAGAAATCGTATAATGAAACCTATGCATGATCATTCACATACTAGGAATAATCTTAAGGGGTTCATACTTCTTTCACCTAGGTCAACGGGATACCAATTCAACTAGCATGCAATACATAAGACTCGTTTATCCTACGAACGGTACCCGAAACATCAAACCAGACATAGGCACGATAGACGGAGTCCGTTGGGACACCACGGGGGTCGGGGGGAACATCAAACGGGGAAGCCGGGATCCCGAAGTGGGGGAGTTTCCAGCGGGTGGAGTTAAAGTGGACCTGATATGAACCTAGTCCAAGATTCAAATAAGATGGAGTATTTCCCCAAGATTGCTCTCAATGTAAAGATAGAGATGGATCAAAATACCTTAAACCTCACGAGAAAGCCTTTGTCTCAAATCCTCAAAGAATTAGAAGAATCCCAACGTAGCTTCAAGTACCTTGATGTTGCAATCTTCAATCAACTAGAGTCGGATCTAGTTTCCTTCGATTAAAGAACGAGTCCACGAACCTAAATCTAAGGTTGAAGAAAGTAAGATTGATTCGTGATATGAACCTAGTCCAAGGTTCACATAAAGATGGAATATTGTCCCAAGAATGTTCTCACAAGTAAAGATAGAGATGGATCAATATACCTTAGACCTCACAAGAAACCCTTTGTCTCGAATCCTCAAAGACTTGGAAAAATCCCATGTAGCTTCAAGTACCTTGATACTGCAATCTTCAATCAACTAGAGTCGGATCTAGTTTCCTTCGATTCAAGAACGAGTCCACGAACCTAAATCTAAGGTTGAAGAAAGTAAGATTGATTCGAGTCCACGAATCAATTTGCTAGCCGAGTCCACGACTAGCCACTAATTGAGTCCACAATTAGCCATAAGGTTTCTTACACAAGTGTAAAGAAAAACTTAAGAGTTTTATTGAATTGAAGCCTCCTCAAAACTGATATGGATGTGTCCTATTTATAGGTATAGGGCAGCATTGTAATCTAAATACAATGGGAAAAAGAGTCCTAAACCTAATCTAGAAAACAAGTAAATAGAGTTTTATTTAGAAAAGGATTTAAGGAATCCTTTCTAAATACAACTAGTGTTTTCTCTTTAATTCTAAACAATTTAAAATAAATGATGACCACAAATAATAAAGCTGATTTGGGTCTCGGATCTTGTGATTGGCCCAATTTGTAATCTTAATGGATCTTCATTATGTTGGGCCGCATCATCCTCCCCTTCTTGAAAAATGATTCGACCTCGAATCTTATAAACATTGTCTTCGATCCGTGACATCACTTGAAACGGGCCACTATAATACTTTCCTCTATCGAATGGAATTATTATTGGAATTCCTTGATTTTTCCACCAATGATGCTTTAAGGATGTACTTTTTGGCCTTGTGATGAGCCCACTATAGACCCTTATTGGATTCCATGTGTGCTGGTTCCTATTATTCTCCCATTCTTGAAAAGGATTCGTCCTCGAATCCAAATCTTCAATGAAAGACAAAGTAGCAAGCTCACTTTCTGTTTTATCATGCTCATGGAACTTTTTCTTGGGGTGCTTGACCCGAGTCGCTCCAATCATCATCCTACAATCAACAAGTAAGGCAATTAAGTCTAATGACACATCATGGAATTTAAACATTCTGGATAGTAATAGATCAGTAAAACGAGACATATTAAATTTAGCCATCTTTTTTGAATTTTCAACAAGCACAACATCTTTCCTTCTAGAGCTTAAGGTTAAACCAAACACAAAATCCATGGAAATATCAAGTAATGTTTTAGATGTATTGTGGTGGTAAGTAGCACAATTATGAACATAAGATTCTACATCTTTTTTCTTCTTTGGCCAATGAAAATATCCATGCAAAACATCATCACTCTTTGGAAAACCAAAGTGTCCTTTATGTGAATCAACAATTAAACCATTGCCCAAAACAAAGCAAAAAGTGCAAATCCCATTGACTTTGAACCAAAACCCCTTGAACAAGTAGTGTTTCACATAAGAAGTTTTCAAATGTGCCTTATAACTTTCCGGTGATTCCTTATCTCTATCAAACAAAGTTTTAGTAAAATCAAAATTAAGGAATCTTGGATGTATGGAGGCAAACAAATTTCTAACACATCTAGCAAGTACGTCATTAATAGAAACATGGCAAAGAAATCTAGAGAATAATAATGCATGCTTTTGGAATAAAAGTGAGTATAAAGTGACTCCCCTTCCTTTCTCTTGCATACTATCCTTTTTAGTTACCAAGAGATGTTGCACTTTGACACCTTGGGCTGGTCCTTTCCACTGTATCACTGATTGTGGTCCCTTTGTTTGGCTACAAACTGAGTTAGAGGATTGGAGTGGTGATTGCAATTCCAAACATGGAGGTTCCACTTTTCTCTTTATGATTTCTTCATTCTTTGAGGCTGGTTTGAGAGCTTGCATCAATGTCAATTGAATTTCTTCTACTTGTTTAGGATACAAACGAGACAAGAAATATGTAACTCCATTCATGTGAAACACATAAGTGTTCCTCATTCCATCAGAACTTATTTTTCTGTCAAATTGCAATGGTCTACCTAACAAGATATGAGCAGCCTGCATTGGGATATTATCTCACAAGATTTCATCAGAGTAACTGTTAATAGATAAAGGAATAAGATCCTGTTTGGTTACTCTAGCTTCTCCTACATCAGTTAACCATTGCAAACAATAAGGATTTGGATGATTAAGCAAAGGTAACTGGGGAAATTTAACCATAGCTGCACTAGCCACATTTGTGCAACTTCTAGAATCTATTACCATAGCACAAGCATTCTCTTTAATTGACCCTTTAGTACAAAATATATTTTCTCTTTGAGACTCATCTTCTTTTAAAGGGTGAACATTCAAAACCTCCTTAACAACAACAGTATGACTAGACTCACTAGCAACATATTTAGAATCAGAATCTAAAAGTATGAATGGTTCTCCCTCAACATGTTCATTGAGAGTTTCAAAATGGTCACATACCTCATCCTTAGACTTATATTCAAGACAAGAAGCAAAATTTTCAGATTGTTTTGTTATCTTAACTACCCTTTTGTTAGGGCAATCACGAGCTATGTGGCCTCTCCCATTACATCTATAACAAATCAATTCTCTATCAATTTTTTCAACTTTCTTGATTTTTTTTTTGATTTTTTTGATAAGTAACCTCCAAATAACTACTGTAAATATCAAAAAAAATTTCGGACCAAGAGGATCCACACAACCCCTTCAAAACAGAACCAAGAATTTCAAGAATCACCCAAAAAAACAGAAACGCTGCCCTTACTTCGAAGATCAATATCTCAATGGCCGTAAGTAATTAGAAAGTGTATAATATATCAATAGAACGCCCCAGAAGAGATCTAAAACATATCAAAATTTCAGATAAAACTAACCTGTGGATCTCGAGATATAGGTCATTCTTTGAAACTGGTCACAGAACGCGAAAATCTGGACAGGGTGTGATTGCGACGTGATTGCGCGTAAATGAGCTTTGGATATAGGTAAGGGTGATATGGGGTTGTTTTCCTGACAGAATGTGTGATAATATGGTGCTTAGGAGGTGTGAGGTCTCGTTTATATTGGATGGTAAAAAAGGAAAACTTTTTCGGGATTGTTTTTCAAGAAACTGGACAACATGTATCAAGATTCAAGAACACAATCAAGAATGCAAAGGAAAATTTTTTGGGGGTTTTTAATGAATAAGACACGAATAAAAGTAGTATGTAAGATAAGAACGAGATAAACCTAGGGAACCAAAGAAACCAAATTTCTAATGATAATGAGATAAACCTAGGCTCTGAATACCAAATTGATATGAACCTAGTCCAAGGTTCACATAAAGATGGAATATTGTCCCAAGAATGCTCTCACAAGTAAAGATAGAGATGGATCAAAATACCTTAGACCTCACAAGAAACCCTTTGTCTCGAATCCTCAAAGACTTGGAAGAATCCCATGTAGCTTCAAGTACCTTGATATTGCAATCTTCAATCAACTAGAGTCGGATCTAGTTTCCTTCGATTCAAGAACGAGTCCACGAACCTAAATCTAAGGTTGAAGAAAGTAAGATTGATTCGAGTCCACGAATCAATTTGCTAGTCGAGTCCACGACTAGCCACTAATTGAGTCCACAATTAGCCATAAAGTTTCTTACACAAGTGTAAAGAAAAACTTAAGAGTTTTATTGAATTGAAGCCTCCTCAAAACTGATATGGATGTGCCCTATTTATAGGTATAGGGCAGCATTGTAATCTAAATACAATGGGAAAAAGAGTCCTAAACCTAATCTAGAAAACAAGTAAATAGAGTTTTATTTAGAAAAGGATTTAAGGAATCCTTTCTAAATACAACTAGTGTTTTCTCTTTAATTCTAAACAATTTAAAATAAATGATGACCACAAATAATAAAGCTGATTTGGGTCTCGGATCTTGTGATTGGCCCAATTTGTAATCTTAATGGATCTTCATTATGTTGGGCCGCATCATCCTCCCCTTCTTGAAAAATGATTCGACCTCGAATCTTATAAACATTGTCTTCGATCCGTGACATCACTTGAAACGGGCCACTATAATACTTTCCTCTATCGAATGGAATTATTATTGGAATTCCTTGATTTTTCCACCAATGATGCTTTAAGGATGTACTTTTTGGCCTTGTGATGAGCCCACTATAGACCCTTATTGGATTCCATGTGTGCTGGTTCCTATTATCCTACAATCAACAAGTAAGGCAATTAAATCTAATGACACATCATGGAATTTAAACATTCTGGATGGTAATAATTCAACAAAATGAGACATATTAAATTTAGGCATCTTGTTCGAATTGTCAATAAGCACAAAAACTTTCCTCCTAGAGCATAAGGTAAAATTAAAAATAAAATTCATGGAAATATCAAGTAATGATTTAGATGTATTATGGTGGTAAGTAGCACAATTCTGAACATAAGATTCTACATCTTTTTTCTTCTTTAGCCAATGAAAATATCCATGCAAAACATCGTCACTCTTTGAAAAATCAAAATGTCCCTTATGTGAATTAACAATTAAATCATTGCCCAAAACAAAGCAAAAAGTGTCAATCTCATTGACTTTGAACCAAAACCCCTTGTGCAAATAGTATTTGTCATAAGAAGTTTTCAAATGTGCCTTATAACTTCCAAGTGATTCCCTATCTCTATCAAATAAATTTTTAGTAAAATCAAAATTAAGGAATCTTGAATGCATGAAGGCAAACAAATTTCTAACACATCTAGCAAGTAGGTAATTAATAGAGACATGGCAAACAAATCTAGAGAATTTTAATGCATGTTTTTGAAATAAAAGTGAGTAAATAATTACTCCCCTTCTTTTCTCTTGCTCATTATCCTTTTTTGTTAGCAAGCGAGGCTGCACTTTGATAGCTCTGGCTGGTTCTTTCCACTGTACCACTAATGCTGCTCCTTTGTTTGGCTACAATCTAAGTTAGAGGACTGGAGTGGTGAATCCAATTCTAAACGTGGAGGTTCCACTTTTCTCTCTTTGATTTCTTCCTTCTTTATGGTTAGTTTGAGAGCTTGCATCAATGTTAATTGAATTTATTCTACTTGTTTAGGATACAAACGAGGCAAAGATAGAGATGGATCAAAATACCTTAAACCTCATGAGAAATCCTTTATCTCGAATCCTCAAAGACATAGAAGAATCCCAATGTAGCTTCAAGTACCTCGATGTTGCAATTTTCAATCAACTAGAGTCGAATCTAGTTTCCTTCGATTCAAAAACGAGTCCACGAACCTAAATCTAAGGTTGAAAAAAATAAGATTGATTCGAGTCCACGAATCAATTTGCTAGTCGAGTCCACGACTAGCCACTAATTGAGTCCACAATTAGCCATAAGGTTTCTTACACAAGTGTAATGAAAAACTTAAGAATTTTATTGAATTAAAGCCTCGCTAAAACTGATATGGCCCTATTTATAGGTATAGCGCAGCATTGTAATCCTAAATACAATGGGAAAAAAGTGTCCTAAACCTAATCTAGAAAGCAAGTAAATATAGTCATATTTAGAAAGGGATTTAAGGAACCCTTTTCTAAAAACAAAAAAAAAGTCCTAAACATAATCTAGAAAGCAAGTAAACATAGTCCTATTTAGAAAGGGATTTTAAGGAATCCTTTCTAAATACAAACTAGTGTTTTCTCTTTAATTCCAAACAATTTAAAATAATGATGACCACAAATAATAAAGCTGATTTGGGCCTTGGATCTTGTGATTGACCCAATTTGTACTCTTAATGGATCTTCATTATGTTGGGCTGCATCAAGACCGAAGGATGCAAACACAACAAGTTCGACGCGTAGAGCCAAAGGCTCAACGCATCAAAAAATTCCAGAACCGTGTCCGGGAAAACGAGCAGAGGGTTCGACGCATCGAACCACAGCTCGACGCGTCAAGAAGTCGCAGAAAAGCATTCAGAAATCGACCTCTCGTTCGACGCGTCGAAGATTTTCTTGTAAGGTCCCAGAAAATTGAGCATGAAGGCTCGACGCATTGAGCGGGGGAAGACCCAGGCGCAATTTTGGCCCAGTTTTGTGCGGAATTTTCCTATTTCCTCCGGGATTGGTTCCAGCTATAAAATCCCACCACCTCCAGCCCTAAAAGTCATTCAGAGATCCTTGATAAAAGAAAGAGAGAAATCAAGAGCCACAAGATGTCTTTGGAAGTAAGAAGAAAGCTAGGGAGATTTGGGAAAGTCGCATGGTTCATTCTTGTATTCTCTTTTATAATTTGTAATTCCTTTATTATACTTTGCTATGTATAATTTGGCCATGCTTGGCTAAATTCCCTCAGAGATTTTTGGGTAAAAAGTTTTTATGAACCTATGTGCATGTGCTCTCAAATTCTTTAATATATTATTTTGGGTTTTAAACTTGTGTTGTTTTTGTGTTTATATTGTTGTTGCTAATAGTTCAGGGCTCGGATTACTTGTTTAATTACTTTGTTTATGTCATAATGGGAGTTAGGCATAATTGAGAGTTCACACAATTGCACTTAAATGTTGCACCTAGGGAAGGGAAATATGTTACGGAGTTTTAGTTCTTGACTTTTGCGCATTGGGAGATGGCAGTAGTTAAGAATTTATTATGAATGCTGGATCTTATTTTATTGGGTGTTTATATCACGGGAGTGAGTATTCACTAGGGTTAGAGATTACAGGAGTAGCTTGATGTAGCCCAAAATAATAAAGATCCATTAAGAATAAAAATTGGGCTTACCTATATCCAAAGCGCATTTACACGCAATCACGTCACAATCATACCCTGTCCAGAATTCCGCGTTCTGTGACCAGTTACAAAGAATGACCTATATCTTTTGATCAAATGGTTAGTTTTATCTGAAATTTTTATATGTTTTAGATCCCTACTAGGGCGTTCGTTTGATATATTACACACGTGATAATTCTTTACGGTCATTGAGATATTGATCTTCGAAGTAAGGGCAGCGTTTCTGTTTTTCTGGGTGATTCTTGAAATTCTTGATTATGTTTTGAAGGGGTTGTGTTGATCTTCTTTGTCCGAATTTTTTTTTTTTTTTGATATTTACAGTAGTTATTTGGAGGTTACTTATCAAAAAAATCAAGAAAGTAGAAAAAAAAAAACAAAATAAAAAAAGAAAGCAATAAAGAAGAAGAATAAGGTTGGGGAAAGAATTTGGTTGGTAGGAGAATTTTTGCGGGAAAAGGAAGGGGAAAAGTATAGAGTTGGAAGGAGATCTTCATATATTCCTATTTGGTTGTGGTACACTTGAACCCCCTTTTACATTCTATTTGTGTCTATCTTTTGATATTGGTCCTGCATATCTTTTTGCCATACTTTATTCTTTGCTTTCCTTTTTCTTTCAAATCTTGCTTAGTTTCTTTGCCTGTATTGTCCTTTTTCTTTGCTTCTTTCTCTCAATTTTATTACCTACCTCGCGATACACCGTTACTCTCAAAGGCTTGCGAAGTCTTCCAAGATACGTTTTCTTGAAATTTGAGGTTGAATCCATATCAACCTTAGTTTCAGACTAGAAATTTTCCTTTTTGTAAAAAGGCTTGTGAGAGTATCTACCATATGGATTGATACACAACTGGAGTGTGTCTTTGTAAGAG